GCTGGACAGGGGGGAGAAAATATAACGAAAGGCTCGTGGGTTGAGATAAGGACAGGGAGAGATCACTCACCAGTTACCGTCATGGGCAAAACAGACTCAACTTGGGGAAATTAGTTTAATTTATTACCAATCAAATCAGAGTACGATAGTGAGAAATAAACCCAAATCTTAAAAAATACCTTCCTTCCCATCCCTCCCTTCTTCCTGGGCACAGCTTCACTCCTGAATCCTCTACCTCCTCCCTGCCAGCAGGACAGAGGGATGGGGAATGGGGGTTACGGTCAGTTCCTCACACATTGTCTCTGCCGCTCCTTCCTCCTCAGGGGCAGGACTCCTCACACTCCTCCCCTGCTCCAGCATGGGGTCCCTCCCATAGGAGACAGTTCTCCATGAACTTCTCCAACGTGGGTCCTTCCCATGGGCTGCAGTTCTTCACAAACTGCTCCAGCGTGGGTCCCTTCCATGGGCTGCAGTCCTTCAGGCACAGACTGCTCCAGTGTGGGTCCCCCGTGGGGTCACAAGTCCTGCCAGAAAACCTGCTCCGTAGGTTCCTATCTCCACCGGTCTGCAGGTCCTGCCCGGAGCCTGCTCCAGCGCGGGCTTCCCAGGGGTGTCACAGCTTCCTTCGGGCACCCACCTGCTCTGGCGTGGGGTCCTCCCTGGGCTGCAGGTGGAGATCTGCTCCACTGTGGACCTCCCTGGGCTGCAGGGGGACAGCCTGCCTCACCATGGTCTTCCCCACGGGCTGCAGGGGAATCTCTGCTCCAGCGTCTGGAGCATCTCCTCCCCCTCCTTCTGCACTGACCTGGGGTCTGCAGGGTTGTTGCTCTCATGTATTTTTCACTCCTCTCTCCTCTGACCCCTGCTGTGCCATTAGTTTTTTTCCCTTATTAAATCTGCTATCCCAGAGGCACTACCACTGTCACTGATGGGCTCGGCCTTGGCCAGCAGTGGGTCCGTCTTGGAGCCGGCTGGCGTTGGCTCTATCGGAGACAGGGGAAGCTTCTGGCAGCTTCTCGCAGAAGCCACCCCTGTAGCACACCCCCTACCTCTGACCAAAACCTTGCCATGCAAACCCCATACATTAATATATCGTGGGAGACTTATAAAAGACTAAAAAGAGACATATATTTTTGTTGACAGAAGAAATATATTGTTTATTCCTCTGGAGTCTCATGTTGCTCATATTGCTGCTTTGTCTTATTGCCTGTCACTGAGCTGCTCTGTCTAGGTGGAAATGTCAGACTCTGTATTCGCTCTGTAAGAAAATCTGTATGTTATTTTTTCCACAAAGCATTCTGTTATGTAAATTTACTCCTGGTACTTTAACTGTTTGTGAAAAAGGCATTTTGCAAAGAGGTATTTTCAAACTGAAATGAGGCATCCTGACCCTAAGTAGTTACAGGGCTAGTTCAGTCTCGTGGAGGAAATGGAAGTTACTGGATGTAATGCCAAGGAGGGCTTTGAGACACTCAGTATCTCTGTGCACATCTCCCTCCACTACACTGCCAATATTCTCAGATGGTACCACTGAAAGACGTTGCTTAAAATGTGCTTCTACCCTGAAAAGTCATAAGGTAAAAGCAGCATCTGCTCACTTATTGCAGGTTCTTGCTGCTAGTACTCACAACTAAAAGTCTTCTAGTGAAAGAGTGGCTCTAACTGCCAGTGCCCAAGTGCTGGTAATGTTGAGCTACATTCTCTGGGTTATATGGAATATCTCCAGCAGAGTTTGGTTCTGTTTAGTTATCAATAGATTTGCAGCTACATGAAAGGTATTTTACAGTGGTAGTAATGCACAAGAAGGAATGGGATTCACCTCCTTGCCCATTAGCTATGTTACTCTGAAGACTAGTCAAGTATAACCAACCAAAGTTAATATATTAAACTCTGTGAGCGTATCAGTGTGTTCAAGTGAGTATACATGCTGAGCAAGGAGATAACCTTATTTGCAACCTTATTTTTCATTGTGTAACCACACTTTCCATGGGTTTGCACAAGCAATTCTGGAGATTTAACATCAGTGTGTTTGTGAAGTGTTGCTTAAGACATCTCTTAAGTCAGAGGATCTGCCTAGGTGTTGCTAAGGTAGTATTTTGGCTAGCAGGATATTCATTACCAATGTTGATGTGCATGAAAATTATTTGGTTTTCAGATCACAAAATGCATTTGTAAGCTATGAAAAACATCACTTTGCTTTTCAACAAAGCGCTCTTGTGTCCCTTGGTAATTACCAGATAAAGGCGGAAAACCACAGTGCCGTTTCTATGGAGTTACAACACAATGTTTCCTTTGCATTTTTTAATAATATTTCCTAGTCTCTCAGTTGAAAATAGCCATTTTGCTGACGGAGGAGCTAGAGTAGTTCAAATGTATGCATTCAGTGGAAGATAACTATAGAGTCTGTGAGTCTCTTTGGATGGTCAAATCAATTCAGATGATATAATCTGTAATATATTGAAAGTTGGGGAAAGACTTGCTGCAATTGCACTTTCTTGCTTGGAGCATCTGCCACACGGGGAGATGCTGACAGAGTTGGGATTGTTGAGGCTTGAGAAGGCTCAGGGGGCTCAGAGCCCAGTTGTGCCCAGTGATAGGACAAGGGACAACGGGCCCAAACTGAAACACAGGAAATTTCATTTAAACATAAGAAAAACTATTTTACCATGAGGGTGGCTGAACACTGGAACAGGTTTCCCAGAGCATTTGTGGTGTCTCCATCCTTGGAGATATTCAGAACCCAACTGGAAATGGCCCTGAGCAACCTGCTCTTGCTGTCCCTGCTTTAAGCAGGGGGTTTGCAGTGGGTGGTCTCCAGAGGCTCCTGCCAGCCTCAGTGATGCTGTACATGAATGATACAAAATACTCTGATAGGAGCCTCGTCCAGTGCCCCTCTAAGACCAGAGGGCTTTGGCTCAGGATCTGGAGAGCGGGCAATGTCTGGGACGAGACGGGGCTTCTGTCATCATTTGCAAAGTATGTGCTTTTGGATTTTCTTACAGCCTCCATGTTTTGAAGGGCCTAATTATCATCCTGAGACAAACTATCACAGTGACATTCACCTCTGTGCAGAGCATGAGAAAAGGACTTTGCAGGGTTTATAACTTGCTATGTGTTTGCACAGATCCTAGCCCAGATGGGCATTGATGGTTGATTCCCTGTATTACTACAGTATTAAAACATTATGTTGTAGTAATTTAACCAATCTTTAGTGAGTGTTTTTATGTGCTTCTTCAGACCTATAGAGCATAAGTCCTACACTTTCCCTTATCTGTGGGATGCAGCCTGCCAGCTTTCTTTTTAGGTATCTATTCCTGGTCCAATCTGCAGCAACCTGAAGTTGTAGTTACAGTGAAAATCTTGTTGAGTCTTGAGCTGAACATGCCTCTGACGGATGGGATCTGAGGGGATCTCTGCTACTGAGCTTAAGAAATCTTTTCTGAATTTCCTGAATATGAACTCACAAAACCTTATGACGCCATTGATTATTTTTTTTTTGCAGATGATTCCGAGGACCTCGAAAAGCTATCTGCCAACAATTTTTAACGCTCTGAGCAAGAGTTATTCAAAGTTAGGTTTTATATGTGGCAGAACCTTAGTCTTAAAACCAGAAAAACTCTCTTGGATGAAACTTACCGTAGATGTTTGGCCTTATGCAGAAATGTGATACAGAGAATTCCAACCCAAGCATTAAAAACTGGCGAAGCTATCGGAAACTGGCTCTTTAATATGGACCGTGTCGGGTGATGTTAGCAGCAGGTAGTTTTAGCTGCCCCACCTCTACTGACTGCCTCTCAGCACTTCTCGCTCTAGACATCGAACCGCTGTACTGTGAGCAAGCTCATACCAATGCATTCAGTGCTTTCACTTGCTCTGCCAAAGTATGGCTTTAAATGAATTTTTCACAAGTGAGTTCTAAAAGGCTTTATTATGGAAACAGTTCACGCCTTCAGGAGTATATTTAGGTCTTGTAAAAGGTGCCAAGTTGCAAGCTCTGGAGGCAAATTCTATATTCATAAACATATCGGGCTAAAGTCATCCCAAAGTATCCTCTGTCTCCAAGCAAAGTGCTTCAGCCTCATCCTGCAGGGGCTGGTGATCTCAGTGACGCTGGTGGGTGGGAGCGCGTTTGCTGGCAGGGCCGCCTTGGGG